TTGATATCAAAGTTTACCAGTAGACATTTCTATAATTTATTAATTTTTAAAATAATTTTGCTCACTTCATTTTTTTTTTATATTTACAGATGTAATCTCTTAGATAAGTATGGACAAGGACATAGAATACTTCCTATCATACAAATGATGTTCGGGAAAACTTGCAATAGAAAAAATATTATGGCAGTAGCTGCCAAAAGTGAAGTAGCGTCTTGGCTAAGCCTGTAGACATTAATTGGAGAAATTTACCAAAATTAGGGAATCTTATATTTAAAAAAAACTGAAATATTTACTTTGTTTCTGATCAATACAGTCAATTGTTACATCACTGCCTACTTTAGATGATTGTGCACTTTTAGTAAGAATGAATCAGTCTCAGTTATAGAACCACAATTTTAATTTTTATGAAAAACAAAACAGAAAATCTGTCTTTATCTCAAAACTCTTTTTGACACTGTTTAATGGGTGAAGTTTTGTATTGGCTCAAATTAAAATAAAATTGTCACTTGTTCCTTTAGAGAAAATTTGAACATTAATAAAATGCATTTAAAAACTTTTTCTGAATTGACTCAATTAAATAACTAAATAGAATTTTTATCATTTTATAAACATTATTTTCCTTTATTTTTTCATATTTTTTGTAGACTTATAGTAAAAATTATTATAACATAATAAAAATATGGTTCTGTTTAAAGTAGTAGTAGATAGTAGTAATAATGAAAAAACATCATTCAAAAATGCTAAAAAAAAGTTTATATTTTTGCAAAAACTGATGCATTTCTTAAATAATTTTTCAGAAAAAAATTGTACAGCATTGTCATCATAAATAAATTTTGCAATTTTGGATGTCGAAAAGTCTATTAATTAGCACCTCTTGCTAAAAATGTGTCATTCACAGCCCCAACTTCAATTTTATTTTTATTAATCAACACCACATCAAGTTTATAACTGGAGACGATATCCTATGACGATGAGACATGTTTAAATTAAAGCATACTTTTAATTTTAAAAATTTTTGCATTAATTTATCAGTTTAGTGTTGTGCAGCAAATTACATGGTATGTCTATTTAATTATTTGTATGATTTAATTTGAATTTTCAAGCTACATAGTAATAATAATTAATTGATTTGTAAATTGTTGTTTTATTGTGTGCACAATAATTTTTGAGAAAATTTTGTGTATGTTTGGAGCATTTTGGATCCCAAAAATTATTCTGTACCCAATACACAAATAAAAAAATGGATTCAGCATTCAGCACTAGTTTAAAAAGATATAGTGTGAAAATATTTAATTTACAAATCTGTTCTTTCTTATACATTTAGATTATTACTCTCAAAGATATTTAACTAAAACATAAAGATTTTTAACTAAAGTTATTAAATTCTTCATTGGAGTATTTTTTGACAGTACAGTATCAATTAGTCAAATATTTATATGGTTATTATGTGTTATATTAACAATAACAAGGTTGCTGCCGAAGCTTTCATCTCCTCTAAAACATGAAAGTTGAACGTTGAATGCCGCTATCTTGTAAGCGGCACTTGACATTCAGCATTCACGTTTTAGAGATGAAAACTTCGGCCATAACATTGCTAATACTTACAGATATAAAAATGATCATATTAAAAGTACATATGATAAACTTCAATATAAAAATTTTAAATCAATATACAGAAGTTCATTTGAAATATATTAATTCATAAATTACAATAAAATATGTAAGGTTTAATTATTATAGAAATAAAAGCATTATATTTTCAAAATTTTTGTCTATTAAAATTATTTTACATAAATTTTATTACTTACTTTTCTTTGTATTTTATACTTCCTTCTACAAGTCATACGCTTGCTTTGTTTCTCTTTAAAAAAAAAGAATTATATTAATAACTTAACAAGATATCAGTTTAATATTTTAAGAAATACAGTTTATTCTAATTTTTATGCTTGAAATAAATAGAGACATCACTTGTCGAATAAAATTTTCCTAACCACCGTTTTCAAATTAACTCAATTCTTGGTAGAAATTGTGTTATGAAAATGTTACAAAACTTTTTATAGTATTGTATTATCCATGTTTATACAAAGAAGAAAGTTTGTCTCTGTTTTTATGCATTTGAAGGCAGTACAAGAAAATACATCAAATTTTCCAAAAACCATCCTTTCATTCAGAAGGTCAACGACTACCTTTTACCAAAAATGAAAAAAAAAAAAATTGTTTCTCTGTCAACAACAGGGTAATCGAAATATCTAACTAACAAAATTGTGACATTCTGTAGTATTAGAGCATTACTGAACATGTTCACAATATGATGACAGAAAACATCACTATCTACATACAGATTTTCAATGGTGTTATGTTATTGATTATTTTACATCATTATTACATTTTTAAGTGTAATTACAAATCAAGTTTTAAACTGATACCTAGCTAACGTCACACGACAAATCCTGTTTTCAATCGATACTGTTCTGTCACCAAGGCAAGCAGTTGTAGTGTGACAGCAGCAGATACATTATTTTGTAAGCTTTTCAACTCCAGTTTGTGCACGTTTCCAGATAGATAAAATTTTCAAGCAAGCTTTAAGTCCATCTGCCATTGTTTCCTTTGATATGATGGGCAGTGTTTGATGAAACTGTATTGCCTTACCAAAAACTCAAAACATGATATATCAGTCTGTTTTATAATAAAAACTATTTTTGAATGTAAATTGTCTTTTTCTTTTAAATTTTTCTACAGTATTAAATTTCCCCAAGAATTATCCTAGCTAAGTATCCTTGTTAGTAACGGAATGGGTCACACGAGTCTGCCGAGTGCCTTGTTAGTAATTTACTGTTTTTATTATTGATAAATTAAACCTTATTTTAAAACAAAGAAATTAATGTGTACTTTATGTAATCTTTATAAAAAAATTTAGTCAAATTAAATGCCAAAAATAGCATTCTTTTCATTGCTATTACCAATGTACACAATTATAATGATTATTTTTATAAGCATTGATTCAGTCACCAAATGTAATTTGAACTTAAACACAAAGTAAACAAGATGTAAAGTGAATGCAAACTTTAAATAAGGTTTGGAAACATTGTTGATGTTTCAGAAATTTAGAGAAAGATTGATTCTAAATTTCCCAATAATTTTCCATTTTTAAGCTTGATGTTTATTAATTAATAAATGTACCATGCTCATAATGTAAATCATTAATTTTTCTAAACTAAAATAAAGTTTGGAAAGTATTCAAAAGAATCTGAATTAGAATCAAGAGAAATTTTGATATTATCCCATCACTAGCTAATGCATACATGATATATAAATCTGTATTACTTCATTTTTAAGTTGCAATGTAAATTGTATTTGTTTACATTATATTTAATATTTACAGTGATACCTTGGTTTTCGTTGATAATCCATCCGAAAACAATTAGCAAAATCCGAAACTGACGAAAACCGAGGCAATTATTTCCATATGAATCAATGTAAATCCAATTACAGTAGAGCGTCGTTTATCCGAATCAATTGGAGACTGGGGTTGTTCGGATAACTTATTTTTTGGATAACCGATTACGTACAAAAAAATATATTAACCTATCCCATGTTGAAATTTTTCTCCATTGTGTGTTGCTTCGCGTTGAATTTCCATCAATGTTAAGCCTAATGAAAATTTTTATAATAATAATCGTGGCTATTGTATCGTTAAAAATTATTTCTTTATTTTATACNTAAAATAATAATCGTGGCTATTGTATCGTTAAAAATTATTTCTTTATTTTATACAAACAAAATAAATATATTGAAAAATAAAAAAAACTTTAGAAGTTAATCTAATATCAAAAACGTTCAATTCAGCACGACACACAGTACTCAGAAAAACACCACACAAAAGTGCCAGTGCTGCCAACTAAAACACACACACCAACAAAAAAAATATTGGAGTAGCCCAAGACAAAACCAAAGGTTGCAACGCCACAGTACTAGTGGAAATTTAAATTTGCCGACTGGAACAGTTGACTGGCTTTCAGATAAATAATGCTCTACTGTAATTCATTCTAGACACTCCAAAATACATACCAAATATACATTTTATAGAGAATGAATATAGTGTTGTAATACTAAAAACAATAAGAAATTAATATAAAATGAATATAAGACTAATGTAAACAATAAATGAACATTTAGCATGGCATTCAAAGAACTACTGGCTCTGAAAACTTTCTTTGGTCCCACGATGGAGCTAAAAGGAAAGGAAAGCAATGGAATTGTTTGGCTAGACCAGTGTTTCTCAACCTCTAACAAATTGTCGCCCCCTTCACTACAAAATTTCGATTCCGAGGACCAAGACTAACGCCAAATGCGTACTGCATTGAATAGAATAGTCACTAGTATAACGTCATTTGTTTAATTATTGTACGATATAACGAATAAAATATCTAATTATTCTTAATGTAATGTTTTACTATATTGCCCAGAAAATTGTTTTTTGCCCCCAAAATATAAATTGTTAGTAATCGCCCCCTCAACATGGAAAAATGCCACCGTTGAGAAACACTGGGCTAGATGCACAGAGTAATGCTCACACGAGAAATAACAAACAACACACTGAACAGGAAAACGCATGGGTCATCCTATGTTTTTGCAAAATTAGCAGGAAGTGACGTGGGCATGCCAACAAAATCTGAGGAGACTAACAAAAACCAAGACAAATTTTTTGCAAAAAAAATAGACAAAAACCAAAACAGACAATAACCGAAGCTGATGAAAACCAAGGTATTACTGTATAAGGATATTTAGGAATCAGTATGTGTTAATAAAACAAAGAATTATTTTAAATTAATGACTAAGGATGCACCGATTAATTGGTAAGTAATCGGTAATCGGCCGTATCGGCCACTTAGCCGATTAATCGGTATCGACCATTCCCACCGATTAATCGGTTTCGATAATCGGCCAATTTTACATTTTGGTATTTTTGTTAGAATGTTACGTACAATGCTAGTAATAAAAACTAATAAATTTCTGTTATATATTTATTATTTATTACATGACAA